CCACGTCATCACTTGAAAGGGCTTGACGCCTGCTGAAAGTTGCTGACGCTGTTCACGGATGTGGTTACCATCTCCGGCGATCACACTGTAAATGCGTTGTCAGCGGCAGAGTGTTTTTGGAAGTCCTTTTCCACGGAACCGTGACTGAGACTTGGATGGATGTTGAAAACCCCAACCCTTCTTGAGATGCATGGCGATGGTCATAGTCCTGTACAGGATCCAGTTCGCCCTGGATGCCTTGATGGACCCGCGCGGAGGCAGACGCTGATGATGGTGATCTCGGTGGTTTTCCTTCGCGAAGATTTTTCAGTGGTGGCCGATCAATCGAGGGTCGGAATACTGTATAAAGTTCCCCAATGCTTGGCTCTGTCGGAAGTGTATCGTGCCAAAAGTTCAACTCTGGCATTGTGGCTGCCGCAAACAAAGCAGGCAATCGGCCAAGCTGTTCACGTTTTCAAGGCCATGCCCTTGTATCCATTGTGGGTGAACATCTGGACAAGTTCCTTCATCTTGGTGGATTCCGCAAAGAATGCATCTACTTTGTTGACGCACAGGATGTGTGCACTCTTGCAGAGGAGCATCTTGTTCACAGGTTGGTCATGGGTGGGCATGGCCTTCATCTCTCGGTCGTTCAGCCTCGGATGTTTGGAAGGATCCAAGGTTCACTGTGAGGAGGTTGAGCATGGTGGAAGATGTGTATGTAGTGCCCTAGGTGTGCTCTCTGTCGGACAGGATTTTGGTGGCTGGAGGTGTATGCCTTAATCTTCCTCTGCTCGGAACAATTCTGGATGGAGGATCGCCCTTCTACCTGTACTTCTCCATGGCTGAGAAGAAGCTCTCCTTCGATCCTTGGAAGCCTTCCTTGGGCATTTTCTCAGTCATCTCTCTGGTGAGATCGACGGCCTTGAACTCGGCGATGCAATTCTTTGGAGATTGAAGAAGCCGTGAAATTCCACCTGGCCACCTGGATCTTGGTCCTGACGGATCTGTCCCGACAATGGATTGGTCACCCTAATCAGAATGCTCAGGATCGGTGGAAAGTCTCCGTGGACTCCTTTTCCATCAGCCTGGCACTGACATGGTTGTAGTCCCGAGCAAAGTCTTCAATCTTGTTTTTGTTTCAAGCTTCGCTGCAGGAACCAGAATCCTTGCTGAACACGTTTCCATTGGCAGAATTTGCAGCAGTGACGTTCTGAGGATCGATGTTCCTGTCTGCGAGTGCCCTCCGTCCTCCAGACATCTTGATGTTGCGAGCATTGTTTGGTGTGAACGCCAGGATGATCATCGAGCCCCGTCCTGCTGGAACATGTTGCAAGGCGGATGCGGATGGATCACCGTTCAGGATGACATCGTCAGTGCAAGCCATGTGAACATGCTGCCGACCCTGGGGGTCCATCTGTACTCCTGGCTTGAGTCCTTCGGCCAAGATCTTGCACAAGTCGTCATATTATGTTGTGCGCAACACAATGCCATAGGAGCTCCAGGATCTCCTCCGTGATCCTTGGAGTGTCCCGGCTCTTGCCGCTCTCGGTTGGAAAACCCCCAAGTTGGTGCTCTTGCTGGGTGGGGCGTTCCATGGGTTCAAGGTCGACAGGTCGAGAATGTCCAGAAAGGTCTCGGGCGTACAGCTCCATCCCTCTATCCGTGGAGTATTTGTGTCCATCAGGACTTGAACGGATACACGAATGCAATCTCGAATCTGGACCAGATTCAGCTTGTTGCCCAGGAAGTTCACCGAATGATCGATGGCTTCGGTCCCGAAGAGCTCGCAGGATCCGTCATCATTGACTGGCCATCGTATCACCCTCTCGTTGTGAAGGGCTGCTGAGAAAAGTGTGCTCATTCGCTCAATTCTTGAAGGGATGAGGTAGACGATCGGCTGGGCCTTGTGTTCTGGGATGTTGAAATGCTTGCACAGGGATTTGACATGTCGATGATCTGCTGTGGCACATCCTGCAAAAGATGGGATCGTTGTGAATGTAGCAACACATGCTGCAGACCTTCTGCATGCAGTTCACGCAGGCAATCCCCGAGATTTGGGTGTCATAGCCACTGAATGTTGGATACCAGAAACTGGTGAACTTCACCCTGAGGAAGTATGGTTGCTCCCCCGATCCGAGAAACCCCTCGAGTTCAATGAGCCTTTGCGAAGATCGCGTTCTTCACAGGAGATAACACATGTGCGCGTTGGGACGACTTGTCCTCATTATTGCGGTAGGATGCACCAGGCCAACCGATCCTGCAAGTTTTTCCATGAATCTCATCTTTTGATTTTTCCCTGCGCTCTCTCAAGGCCTGGCTGTTTCATTAATGGCGCGAACGTCCGCAATGGTTGGGGATGCTGCTCTGGGTGCGCATCGCGAGAATTGTTAGCCATGTGGAATTGCGTTCGCGACTGTAACCGGATGCGTTGACCTAAGAAGCAGCAATCCTTTTGTCTTCGGAACCAACCTGAAAATCTTCACGAAGTCGTCCCATGGTTTCCTTCTCACACACATCGTGCCCGGTCGTAAAAAGCTCGTCTACGTGAAAAGGAAGTGTCCATGAACTGTGGAGTCTGGGCATTGTTACTGGGAACAGGCTCAACTGCGCCTTCTAGATCGACCAAATTCAATGATTTCTTTTCACTGATCGGTGGGGATTTCGGAAGCTGTTTACCACAGCAAACATATGCACATCGGTCTGCTCGTACCGGCACGGTCCATGGGATAGAAGTGTCGAATCTAGGATGTTCCACCATCCCCGTGGAAAGAACCCGTGACGGAGAAAGCATGGAGGCCCTGAGAGATCTCGCCGACAACTTCAACGTGCGGGATCCCAGCAAGCTGTGTCGCCTCCACCACCCAAGTCTGGCAGCGGTGCGGGCGCGAGTGCGGGCAGCGGATCTCGCGTCATCTCGGAGCCTTCAGATTCACCATCTTCTTGGTCAGTATATCTCATGGTTCTCTGTGAACTTCCGGTGCCCGATGATGTTGGCACGTGAGGGAAGGAGGTTGCTCGGCAAGTGCACCGGAAAGTTGGGATTGACACTGGGAAGAGGCAGGCGCAGTGCTGGGTAAAGACTCAAAGCGGTTGGTCATCTGGCTTGTGAACTGCGCTGCATTGGTGGAGTTGTTTCTTCTTGCTCAGGATGCAGCAGTTCGAGGATTCATCGTTGTCTTCATTTGCGGGATTGTTCAAGTTACTGGTGGTGATGGCACCACGTAATCGGTAGAATCGGCTGGGATGGCTGCGGCTGACACAGCAAAGAGACATCACCCCCCAGTCGATTGAATCCACTTGAGGACGAAACGCTTCCTTGTACATGTAAGCACCTCCCAGGAGTCTGCTTTTGAAGGGGCTTCCCTTGGCTTCATTCCTGGTGAGCGCCGTCCAATTCGCAAGTTCCGCATACCTGAGCCAGGGTCTCTTGAGTGATGCCGACTGTTCCTCCATGAAGCCTCATTTGGATCTTCTGAAAGTTCTGCCAAACCAAGCACATTGGATTTGTAAGGAGAATGTGTCCATTATTGCAAAAGTGGCCCTGGATCTACTTCAATTGGATCCTATTGATGTACACCGAATGGATGTATTGACCCATGGATGTCGTCTGGGAAATAGATATGTAAATGTTGCGCAGGGCAAAATGCGTCAACAAGGGGGGGCACGGAGGGGGGGGGGGTTCGCGTTCACAAGATCGAGCGACTGAAGGAGAGAACACATGACCCCGGGCGACTAATTTTGATGCCAAGTTGCACCATGCCATACTCGGCAACCTCGGAACTTCCCCCCGCAGCGTCCACCAGTTGTCGCACGACATCCTCTGCGTCTTCTCCGACGATTCCAGTCTCTGAAAACTTTGTGGCGTCTGCCTGTGCAGCTCATTCTCGCGTCATGTGCAGAACTGGCACGCAAGCAGGGCAAGAGGCCTTCACAAACGGCACGCCAAGCATTTTGGCCATTGTCCGGACAAGGTATGTCTTTCCACTGCCAGTCGGCCCGGATATTAGAATGTTCCTGAGGTCAGGCCAGACAAATGCAACTAGCACGGAATGGAATGGCGGCGTTCGAGTGACATTCAGGCAACAGAGTGTATTCCGCCAAGATTCGGTTTCATGTAATTCTTCTCACGCAGATCGGGCTGATCCAAGCATCTGCGGGCCCAGTTGTAGTGGTCGCACAGTGCCACGGACCTAAGTTCTGCTTTTCAAGGGGAAATCACCTCCACAGGTGAAACCATGCAAACAAGGTTCAACACCTTCTTGGCTTCATCCTGTGCGTTGGCACGGGAGGTGTCGACCCTGAAAAACCAAACATTGTGGGCAGGGGATGTTGCCCCCAAAAGTAAAGTCGAGCATTTTCCCTGGCAACCTCTAGTCAACACAGCACTCATCCTGCTCCATGACGAAGCGGTCCAGGTAGGATTTAACGTCTTTCGGTTTCATACGAAAATCTTTAATATTCTTTAGAACCTGGTAGCACTCAGCGCAAAACACAGAGACTGAGCTTTGCCTTTGCAAACAAGGCCTCTTGAGCTTTCTGATCATCTTGGGATCCTTAGCTTGGCTTGAACGAAGAGATGAAGCGCACTGACGTGCATTCGTGCCACACACACACACACACCGCTCCAAACAAAAGCATCAACACGCACTTTCAAATGCAAACATGCCTCTTTGTCGGCCACCGAACGGGTTGTCGTTTGGCCCCGACGCGAAGCCCCCACCTACTCCAGTTGCTCCGCCTTGACTCACGACCTGCCCAGCTGTGCAAAGCGTGCTACCACATACATCACGCTAGGGGAGCCACATTAAATATGTTCCCGAGTGGAGTTCCTCGTTGCCCACTGGCACTGCGGCAGGTCCTCCAAGGCTCTCGAGTTGGCCATTTGCAAGCCCCTTTTTTCCCCCCACGTGGATCACTTGTTGGTTGCCATGACCACCCCCCTGCTTTTCAAGGACATGCTCATGCATTGCCAATAGAACCCACGCCTTCAGCCGGTGTGTCAATCAAGCCTTCTTTTTGCACCCCTTTTTGAGGGCCAATGCAACACCAGCCTTCTGGTGGGTGAGACTTTCTTGATCATGCACTGGTCAAAAGCTAGGAAACATTTCGCACTGCCGCGAAAGTCAGTCGAAACCGATAGCAGCTCGAACACGCGTCCACTCATCCACAAGCTCACCTAGCGGCTGGGTACGCATCCCGTTGGTCCGCCGCAGTTCACGATGGGGCGCCCCTTGCTCTTCAGCCGCGTCATGCAACCCAGCTTCCAGGGCCAGGACCGTCTCGCTGAAATGAAGGGCATCTCGCTCCCTTGCTTCCAGCTGCTCCTCCAACGCTCTCCCGCTTGCTCGGACTTCGTGGAGCTGCCGCCGCTTGTCCTCCAGCTCTTGCTCTACTTTGACCAGCTCATCAAGATCAGCCGGGTCAGCGTCCGGTCCGTTCGGGTCGGACTCGGAGGAGAGAGATCGGCTCCTGTGTTTCAGCAGCCGCTCCCTTCTGGAGTCGCTGGAGCCCAGCGGCGCCAGTGCCAGTGGCGCCAGGGGCGCCAGCGGCGGCTCCGCCGATTGGCTGCGCGAGCCAGGGCCTTTTGAAGGCCGGCGCCACAGCGGCGACCACTCGGACCATTCACCTTGCACCTGCTGGCGAGCAGCCCGCACTACCGAAGCCGCGGAAGCCATGCATGGCTACAAGTTGTAAGCACCTTCAGCTCCTCTATGGCTGGTTATGGATATGCTGTAGACCTCCTCATGTGCCACTTGCTTGTCGTGAAGGGCTTGCTGACTGAGCCCTCCGCTAGCTTCAGCGAGCAAAAGTAAAAGCGACACAGCCGCTGCAGCTTGAATTTGCATGTGCTGCATGCATGTTGTAGCAGCTAGCACTTAGCAGAAGCAGTGCCCCTCCAACCCTCTTAGAGGAGTTCTGAGAACCCTTCTGGTGGGTACTTTATGGGGTCCCAACCTGTCATCGTTTCTTTGTCTTGGGCCTCTAGTGCCGTGAAATTTGCAAATGGGACAAATCTGGCAAGGTGGCAAAGCACCATGTAATCTCCCAACACGCCGGTCCTGAGCTTGCGTGCCACTCGGAAGGCTTTGACGGCTGCAACTGACACTGGCAGGGAGGAGACGGCAAAGCCACTACGAACGAAGCGCTGGTTCTGCGTCACATGCGGCACCGCAAACGGCTCAATGCCACGCCATGGCAGCAGGAAAGCGATGGACATGAGAATGGAACAGTCGCTGTCGTTGTAAATCAAGTGAGTTGTGTCAAACGCTTTCGTCCAGAAAAGCTGAAAAAGGCTGCTACTGAAACCAGTCACATAAGGCAGACCATGTGACTACGTCGTGGTCTTTGTATTCCTGATCTTCTGCATGTCTTTGCGAAGGGAGCTGTCAAGCCACGCGTTGATTAAGCTTGGGTGCGCGCAGCATGCAGGCGTACAAGCTGAATGACGCAAAAATGCGCGCGTTTGCACACTTCTCGCTCACGACAGAACATCTCTTAACTCTTGGGCCAACCTTTGTGGCCCAAGCGGCTGAAATGCTCGCACAGTGAGGAGCACACCCAAGTCAAAGGACCTCAGCCTGCTTTTCAGGGCTGACACTTGGGCCTGGTCGAGGTCAGCATCAGCCACGGCTCGCAATGCTTCAGCCCATTCTTCCAATGTGCCGGAGCAGGGCACTCGACCCGAAGCATCAAGGCCATCATTGGCCAAAGGCTCGGCGGTGGCAGCCACAGCGGTGGCAGCTTGCCAGTCAATGAGCTGCTGCTCACCTTGAATCAATCGCTCATCCACCAACTCTTCCACGCCCACAGCGGTCACAGAACACATGCCCTTCCAGCTCGGCTTTGGCGCCCGTGCCTAGGCCAAGCGCATGTGCATATCTATGAGTTGTTGTGTTTGTGTTGTTTCGTTTTTCATGTAGCACGTCCTACTGTTCTTTGCCCGCGAAACAGCTGAGGCCTTCACCTGCTCAATGAAGGACGCTCCAGCAGCCGGCACGCCACTAGAATAGCCCAGCTGTGCTTCCTCTCCAAAGAACAGCTCGAAGAGCTGGTCTTTGCCCGCGCGAACCTTCTCGACTCTCTCCACGCCATTTCGTGCGACAATGCGCTCGCGCTGCGTGTCCTCTCCAGATGCCTCCCGCGTGCGGAAGTCAGAAGCCCAAAAATGAAACGTCACCAAGCCATCTGGATCGCCGGGGCTGGCTTTGTTCATGTGACCTTCTGCGCATCCAAATTTGCTGTCAATGTCCAGCAGTGCATATCGAAGCACCGGCCGCGCTTCGGGAACAGCCGCATCCAGTGTGGAATGCGACAGAAATGCATCGAACAGATTCTGGTTGTCCGTGTATGGATTAACATAGATTTGCTTCAAGAACAATGTGAAAAATGTAAGGGTTCGATAGGAGGCTCGCACATAGAACAAGCCGTTGTTCAAGCATCTCGCATCCCAATGTTCCGTGACCAGCACCTCCACCCCTGTATAATCCAGGTCTGTCTCAACCGAGCTGGAAGTCACATTGTGAGACCAGTGCTGCCTGTCACGTGTGCCGAATGTTCATGACAAGGAAAACACTGCTGGCCTGGGATCGCAAATCTTGGACAGTCCGCAAATATCCGCCGCGTCATCGAACAAGAAAGAGCCAAAACGGACCTCGGAAATGCTTTGAAAACGCATTTGGTGCACCAGGCTTCAGAATGAGCAAGGGTCAAACCTGGCTTCAGCCAAATTGCCCTTGAACGCTGAGGAAGCTCTCTTGCTGGCGAATCACGAGCAGCAACAATTGCTGGCGTCGGATCCTCGGCAATTGTGCATTAGTGGCTCCCCCTACCTGTCACCCCACCTGCAAAATGAATGTGTCGAAGTCAATCCAAACGGTATCCACCGCTGCACTGAGCAGAAACGGCAAAAAGGCATGCTTAATGAAGATGACGTGTCCTTGGAAGTGCGCACAGCTTTCGGGCGGAGTTGAACACATGCAACTGCCACTGTTGAGTCCTTCTGTTGCAGCGACGCAGAGTATGCGTCTGGAGAGGTCAGAACCTCATCACACAAGAAGGTTACGCGTGTTACACAAATATATGCTTCGCACACGTCTTGTGCAAGCAAGCAGCCTGAGCTGGAAGACAGCCCCTGCACAACCTGACATAAACACGCACAGCTCAATTGAAACACCCAGCCTGTCTTTCCACGAGCATGAAGTGCTATATACTGTGCTCGCAAAGCAGGTTTGGAGGCATCGGCTGTTTCAAGCAGAATCCTGTCAATTTAATTGCGGTAGCTTTCGGACTACATGTGTGACGCACTTCACTAACATGCAAGCGCCCTGGCACACTTTTCAGTGGAGCTAGCAAACCTGAAGCCCAAAGTAAAAATTACTTCAAGGAATCAAACCCAAAATATGTTCTTTGCATAAAGCAATTCATACGTCTGGAGTTTGTCCATGCCAGCAACAAGCTGCTGCAAATTGCTACCATCAAGCAGCGCCTGGGTGCATCTTTCAAACGCCATCTCATCCATGCAGGCCAGGACAAGCGCATGCAAACCCAGCACCATAGCGCGATGAATAAATCCTGCAGCTCAAATACGCATGCAGATATGTGTGAAGCTTTGGGAGCCCTGGTCCTCGAATATAGTTAGCAAAAGGCATCCCGCCAACAGCAGTCACAAAGACCATGGCATCTGAGTTTTGCAGAATGTCCTCCACCCCAAGCAAAAAGGATGCTATCTTGCGGCTCACGGGGTGTTTGTGCTGCTTACCTCGGGCCAAGTGCTCTCGTCTCAAAAGAGGAGAGCGGAGCTTGTCAAAATCATATCGATCATCCGGCATGGGCATCAGCTCTTCTGGTGACCACCTCGGCAATGTCTATTGATACCGGGGTAAAGCCAGTGAAAAGGAACACCCGAACCACGTGATTCAACTACCCTCTGCAAACTGAATCCGGCCAACTAAGGATCATACACTAAGTCGAAAGATCTCAGAGAGAACTGCCCCAGCTTCGCCAAGCCATGAAAAATACCCCATGTCGACGCACCAGAGACAGCTTCAGCCGTATAGGACCGCAGAATCCAGTGTGCCAAGTTGCTGAAGCGCTCAAACAGGGAAGGATTGGACATCAGCGACAACATGGCAGCTGAGGCTGCAAAAGCAGCCGAACCAGCTGGGCATGCTGGCACGTACACAGACGAGAACTCTCGCGGATCCTTCATGGTTGCAGATACAAGACCGTCGAGTCCACGCAAAAACTTCAGGCCCTCAATATCACGACCGGACGCATAGGGAGTATGTCGCCTCAACATGTCCAGCATGCGCTCTGCCGTGTAGCCCGCAACAGCGGCACCCGCACATCTTAGCCTTTCAGGAGATGTATCCACTTGGTACTTGTGAGCCCTTATCTTCGGGAGGTAGATGTGAAGCAGCGCAAAAGTGCCCCACTCTGTGGCAGCAGTGACGTGCAGTGGTGCCAAGTCCAGCAACACTGCCAAATCCCGAGAAAGCAGCTCCACCATTGGCGTCTGACTGAGGTCAGCCAAAAACCTCTCATATGGAGGTTTCAGCGGGCTTTTCGCACGATCATGCCCCTCCAAGAATGCCATGCACGTTGCAAAAATCGATGCAGTGATCGCGCCAAAAGGACACTCGTTCAATGCCTGCGGAAAGCGCCAGAGAATAACCGCCGCAAATTCGAGCAGTTCCAACTGCACCGCATCCAGTTGAGCATCTTGACGCATGCGCAGCGTTCGCTCATCCAGCGCTTCTTTGGCCAGAAGTGCAAATCGCTGGCGTAAGTGTGCCCAGTTCAACAACGGCTGTTGAAGTTCTCGACGACATTCGTAGTCCTCTATTTCGACATCTGGAAGCCAGGACGGCACGTGCTGAGCACGTGCTTGACAACAACTGGCCAGCCAGACTCCAAGGACAACAGCACCTTGGCACTGCATTAAGCTTCCGATTTTCCCTGCACAAGCATTAGACATGATCACTACTGCTGACAGTCTCGGCTGGGGCACGACAGCACACGAGCCACATGAGCGGCGCACCAGCAGGTCTCTCATATCCATGGCCAACATCAGCTAACTTTCGGTGACCCAAGTTTGTTGCTTGCCAAGACAGGTTGCTGGTTGTAAGATGGTGACGACACTCTGGGAACGAATTCTACGAATATCAAGTCATTGGCATAACGAGCTATGGAATGACTGCGAAGTTTCGATACTCAGCCTTGCGACCCTTTTTGGCACAAACGATCTGCAAGACCACAATTTCCCCTTGCCAATTCGCCACAGCTGCATCCACACAAGACCTTCATGTCTTTGCAATGCCGTGAAGTACGGTTTGCTTCTGAAGGCTGAGAGTCCAAACAAGATGATACAATGACACGCATGAAAACATATGAGTCTGCTATACGAAAACAAAAGGCACATCTGATTTGTTGTTCTCAGGCCAAGTATTTCCAAACAATGAATCCTTGTCAGCTGCGGTGACGGCTCAACCGCACAGCAGACATGCGCACATCCACTGCTGCATCCTCTACGTGAGTTTGACCCATCATATTGCCGCAATTGTATCCTGCCGCTTTGCGCGAAAATTCGAAAGGAATTGTCTGTAATCTGTAAGGCGCAAACATCTCCAACAACCTATCGTTTCTTGGTCCTTATCTCCCACATCAGGTCAATGCAAACCATGCAATGCAACAAACAACCAATCATAAATGCTAAATGCTCTCACTGCAAGCAAGGTGCAGCTCCAATGAAAAAGTTCCACCTGGCTTCCCATCCAGCGTCACGAATCCTGAGCCAGCAAGCCACTAGGCCGAGCGCCATCCGGAAAACGTCTGCACTCCGAGGAGCCATAGATCAGATTGTCCCCCAGAGACTGAAAATCTCCATCGAAAACCAGCTTGCCGTCCGTGAAGCGCAAACGCCGGCCAGTGTAAATGCCAGGGAACGATTTCTCCTAACAAAAAGCAGCAGAATGTCTATCAATGACTCTGCGGCTGGATGCTGCTGAGCCGCAAGGTAGTCCGGAGACTCTGCCCGGAGGTACTTCAAGAATTCCTCAGAGAAAAGATCCCTTGCCTCCGTATGCTGGGGGAAGCCTGCTTGAGCCAGACATCATACATAAAGGAATGTGAGCAAAAGCAACTGTACATTCATTTGGCCACAAATGGATAAAGGTACTCATTCCGGCACGAAAACGTTGACAAGCCACTTCTCTGGTCATGCCTTTGGCTGGGTCAGCACAGTTCTCGGCAAACTCGTCTTTCGAGGGAAAGTCTTCTACTTCAGCCACCTAGGAGAGCCAACACGGCAAGACACAACGATTCAGGCCCTGACCTGCAATGCCTCAAGTGAAACAAACCCTTTTGCAAACCATGCCACCTGAGAGAAAAACAATTGCAGCATTGGCAACGTCAAATGCTGGCAGTCTTCCTCTGAAGGCATGGATGTCTCGAAGTCACGCCACTGCTGATTGAACTTGTGAAATGTGTAAGCCGTCATGTCACTGTCTTTTTGCTCCCCAGGCTCGAAAGCGATGGGATAGTCCTGCTGAAAACTCACAGTGTCATCCAAATCGCCTCGTTTAGAGAGCAGAATGGCTTCATTCTCTGAGGATGCTTCCAACTTCAAGTCCAGCTGTTCATTGCCGGAGAGGCCTGGATGCTGAAAATGACCAAGAAATACATCCCCAGCCGCAATGTGATTCAAATGCCACGCTGGCTTGTTTTTTCTTTGATCCAGTTCCTCTGCTTTCTTGTCAAGGCCGAGCTTTTTCAAGTAGAGTTGTTTCCGTTCCGTTGGATTGGAAAACCCTCCTGCCTCCTGGCGCTTGACAAGCCTGAGTTGTTGCCCAGCATATACTTGCAGCTTTTGGTTTTGGGTCGGATCCCGTCTCAATATTGGCTTGTACGCCCATCTTGCGACCAACTCGCGGGACTGCGCAACACCCACGTTGGCAAATGCCTCCGCATCTAAGTGGCGTCTACACAGGCGGCAGGCCACGACAACAATCATCGCCGAAAGCAGGCCCTGCCGCAACGTCACATGACGCTGCAACTTTTGCGCCATGTCCACAGCGCTATCACACTAGCTACCGACACATGCATGCAGCTTGGGCCAATTGCTGGCACGCAACGAAACAAAACAAGCAGGGCCGGCTGTGGGTCAATAACATACACATACATGCAAATTACATGCGCGTATGTATGTTTTTTGTGCGTGTGTGTGTGTGTGAGCGTGTGTGCGTGTGCGCGCGTGCGCGTGTCCGCAAGTGTGCGTGTGCGCTCGGGTGCGTGCGCGCTGTGTGTGTGTGTGTGCGCGCGCGCGTGCGCGCGTGCGCGTGCGCGCGTGCGCGTGCGCGTGCGTGCGCACGCGACGTGGGCGTGGGCGTGGGCGTGGGCGTGGGCGTGTGGCGTGTGGCGTGTGGCGTGTGGCGTGCGGCGTGTGGCGTGTGGCGTGTGGCGTGTGGCGTGTGGCGTGTGGCGTGTGGCGTGTGGCGTGTGACGTGTGACGTGTGACGTGTGACGTGTGACGTGTGACGTGTGACGTGTGACGTGTGACGTGTGACGTGTGACGTGTGACGTGTGACGTGTGACGTGTGACGTGTGACGTGTGAAGTGTGACGTGTGACGTGTGACGTGTGACGTGTGACGTGTGACGTGTGACGTGTGACGTGTGACGTGTGACGTGTGACGTGTGACGTGTGACGTGTGACGTGTGACGAGTGACGTGTGACGTGTGACGTGTGACGTGTGACGTGTGACGTGTGACGTGTGACGTGTGACGTGTGACGTGTGACGTGTGACGTGTGACGTGTGACGTGTGACGTGTGACGTGTGACGTGTGACGTGTGACGTGTGACGTGTGACGTGTGACGAGAGACGTGTGACGTGTGACGTGTGACGTGTGACGTGTGACGTGTGACGTGTGACGT